GAACTTTTCTTGATTAAAACTATGAAAACAAATTGAAAATAAAATTTGATCTTCAAATTTCATTTCCAAGATCTAGTAATATCTCATAAATGAAGCTATAGATTTTTAATAAGATAAATAAATCACGACTAATCCTCCATTATTATATAGAGAATTTTTTTCATTGACATTTAGTAAAGAAAATACACTCGTTAGAATGAATATTTCGCATGTGTGTTTTCATTCACCAATGCAATGTCAAGTACTGAATGAACTCAATAGAAAATTTGACGATTAGATCAATTAAAGCTGTGACAAATAAACAATTTAATGTTCGTACTATCCATTGAATGATCGATGATATCATCAATAGATAATATGCATAATTACAGCTGTGACTATATGCGCATGAACACAGAAGAAACCTGTGAACCAATTTCATTAGACACAACAAGTATGCGTCTCGAGGACATATTTTCTCAGCTTTTCATTTATACTTATGTCTTAAAACGTCAATTAGTGACAAATAATAACAAACACGTACAAAAAGACAAACAATACAGTCACGATCAGCAATCGATGAATGAATTCTGAAAATAAAAACAAAAAACATGCACATATATATAGAGAGAGAGTGAAATAGTTCGATCAGTACACACATATGATCGTTTAGAAAAGAGCAGTGTCATCTTCATCTACTGTTTATATTCTTCTTTAAACGAATTGTTTTCAACGTTTTGTATTAGGTAAGAATTTAAGCTTTATTAAGGATTAGAACGTTGGATTCAAAAAACTCAAAACTAAAGTTGATATGAACAAGATTTCTTATCATCTTCATTCGATATCGCTTTGATAAATACAATGCAAATTTGTTGATGCCACAATAGTATTGTATTTAAAAAGAATGAAATTTTTATCACATGTAGCATCTTGCTCTAGAGAATTTTTTTTTATAAATGATATTTTGATCTCAAAGCTTCTTTTTCAAAAACGTTGGTTTTCGTGAAAAAAATGAAAATTGAGATAAATATTGACAAATCTTTTTCTCTATTTATATTTTTTGATATTACATCTGAGAATTCTCGAAGAAGTTTCATTGCAACCAATGACTCCTTGTTTTTGGATTAAGCTTTATTACTATTATATAAAAGAATACTTTTATGATAAGAGGGCAATTTTTGAGACATCAAACTTTTCTCTCCTTAAAAAATAAGAATTTTAAAAAAAGGGCTCTGCTATACGTTGAATATCTTTCAAAAACATCATGTTATAGAACTGAAAATTTCAATATATCTCGACCAAGATCGATTTTTCAGAGTGGCTTTGATATTTTTTTTGTCTTTTAAATATTATTACTACTATAATGAATGGATCTACTAGAAGTAATAATAAAAGTCGACTCTCACTTTTTTTGAAGTTGTCATTAAACAAGAAAATGTACTGTTATGTCGAACAAAGTTCTTTAAATACGATAACATTTAGTAAAGATTAGATCGAATTTATGAGTCAATAATCGCTTATTGCTTGTCTAGTATCACCTTTAGATAGCACCAAATATTATTTGAAGAGAGAAGATCAAAAAGAAAAGATCAGTTGGCATCTTGTGTTTTGCACATTTGTCGAAACATCATCATGTCAACATCTATGAAAGATTCAACTTCACCAATTGAAATGAAAGTTTATGAAAATAAACCTGCATCAAATACTAAAACCGGTAGATATTTTTACAATCGCCGAAAAATTTTCCAAAATGAACTGAAAGAAATAGTGTCATTTCATCCAAAAGAATGGATTAGTGCATTTCATTTCAATTCATCATATCCCTTATTTGTCAAAGGTGATATTGATGGTTTTATGGCATTATTTATCAATAATTTGGCAACTTTATTAACAGCTATATTATGTTTACAACCAATATTAGGAAATGATATTGTCTATGGCAAGATTGTGCCTGGGTAAGTATCTCTGTAGAATGTCTTATTTTGAAATGATAAACTAATAAGGTACTAATTAAATATTAAAATGTCAACAAAATGTTTGTCATAGTTTTCAGAATACTACTCATATATAAAAAAGAATTTCTTAAATTTGAGATAAGAATAAAGAATATCATCTATTATTTTCTAGAGTCGGATTATCTATGTTATGGGGTGATTTGTATTATGTTTATATGGCTCGAAAACTTGCATTTAAAGAAAAACGTGGTGATGTATGTGCAATGCCTTATGGTATAAATACTCCGGGTGCATTTGCTTTTATTTATGTTATTATTTTTCCTACATATTATGGATGTATTTCATCTCATGATAAAGGCTATTGTCAAGAATTAGCATGGTATGTGGCTTTAGCAAGTAATTTTGCAACTGGTATTATTCTACTTTTATTATGTGTATTTGGTGAATTTATTCGACGAAATACACCGAGTGTTGCTTTACTTTCATCGATTTCTGGTCTTGGATTTGTATTCTTGGCACTCAATGAATTTTTACTAGTCGCTGAAACACCCATTGTATCATTTATTCCATTGGCAATTGTGATGCTTGGTTATTTTGGTGGAGGTAAGAAGAAACTATTTTCATCTTAAATCATACTATGACGGTTGCTTTCATGAAATTATGAGAATTCATATTACGGATGTGGGCGAAATCTACATTTAATTATAATACTTTTCTAATAGGTTTTTTGTTTACTGGTAGTTCTACTCAATAGTTGTAAGATAGCAAGTGTCAAATAGGAGCAACTGTTCTTGATTTGTCTCACATTGATAATAAATATGTAAATCTAATTTCCATGTTTTTTTTTCAAATCTTGTTTTAGTTAAGTACGGTCCATTTCCTGTGGCATTTCTTGCATTAGCAACAGGTACAGCTCTTGCTTGGATTACTTCACTTAATAATGTTTCGGCAGTACGTGAAGCAATGTATCTTGTGAAAGGCTATCGACCAGTTTTTCCAATCAAAGAAATATTTGATCATTTTCATACAATCAGTGGTTATCTTTCAACAACTATACCTACAGCTGTATCAATTGCTGTCGGAACTATTCAATGTGTTGAATCAGCTAAACGAGCTGGCGATTTTTATCCTACACGTGAAGTTATGTTTGCTGATGGAATGGGAACATTAATTGCTAGCTTATTTGGATCGATTTTTGGCATGACAAGTATGTAAAAAAAAGGATCTTATGTAGGAAAAATAATTTATTGATATGTCAAACTTTTTTTAAGCTTATATTGGTCATCCAGCATTTAAAAAGATGGGTGCTAAACAAGCTTACGTGGTTCTTAATGGTCTTACTTTTTTGCCATTGTGTTTTCTTGGTATTACTGCTTTTCTTATCTCTGTTATTGCTGTTGTATCAATCAATCCTATTGTCGTAAGTTTTTTATATTCTTGTATCACTCACATCTGATGATCCAATTCGATATTTGTTTTTTCATTTAAATGAAAATAATTTTTGAAATTGTCGAATAAGGAAAATGAAATTCTCTATCTAGATTTTAAACTTTGAAAAAGATCTATAGAATAAATTTAGATGAAGTTTTTTTTTTTTTTTTAATTGAATAGATTTTTATTGGTTTGGTTATATGTACTGATACATTGGCTATAACTCCTAAACGTCATTATCCAGCATTTCTTCTTGGTATAATGTCAATTGTAGCTGATTGGGCTCAAGGTACAATTATCAATGGTGTTACTGCTGCTTATTCTAATTTTACTGTACCAAATGTACATTTTTCAACAAATGTAACATCTGCTATTTCAAGTTTTTCTTATCATGGTCTCGTCAATTTTGCTGGTGGTTCTCAATTACAATGTATTTTTATAACTGCTATTATGTTATACATGATTGATCGAAAATTTATATATGCTGCTGTTTGGTCTTTTCTTGCTGGAATATTTGCTCTTTTTGGATTGATCAATGCAAGTAAAGTTGGTATTTTAGTGAAAAGTGATGATCATGGTTGGCGATTTACAGTTGGTTATATGTCAATGGTTGTATTATTTGGATTATTAGAATTTGCACAACGTAAAAAATGGGTCAAAGCACAAGAAACAGAACCTGATGATTTATCAAGTATTGAATGGGCTGAATGGAAAAGGCAACAAATATTAGATGAACCATCGATAATAATTGATGAAGATAAAAAACCAAGTGTATAATATTGTATTTTCATAAATCATTCTTGTGTAATTCATGTTATAATACTAAAAAAAATAATAGTTATAACAACAAAATAAATATAAATAGTAGTTAGAATCATATGAGACAATATGAATAAAATAATATTTGTATTTATAGTATCTGGTAGAAATTATAACTAGACGAACATTTTCATAACTTTACAATTCGCATAGAAATTATTATGAGAAAGAAGCTAATTGTTTTATTTATTTAACAGGCACTATGAAAAAGTTGTAAGACATGAAAAAATTAAGCGAAATATTCATGTTATTGATAATACAAATGTCAAACATCAATATTGATAATGTAAAAACAATGTATCATACCTTATTGAAAATTCTAATACATATGTGAAGTAGGTTTCATTTGGTTTATGATGTTCAAAAGAAAAACAAATGAAATATTATTTAATCGTATTCGAACAGAATCTTTTTTAGATATTATGATTATCATAAAGTGTGATCATGAATTCTTTATCGTTTGCTTATTATATAACAAACTTCTAAGTGAAAAATAAGAATACTTTAACCTATAAAGTTTTGGTTCTCATACAATTACTTTATTTTATATTTTTCATAACAAAAGATTCTAGTAGCAATTACAAAAGATATACCTATTAAAAAAAAAGAATTGTTTGAGAACGCTAGGTATGCAATTTCATGATTGCTATTACTTCGATAGAAAATGATAGCCATATATTTTGATCAATAGAACAAAAATTACGATGCCATGAAGAATGAAAATTCTTTTTTTCTTACAAAACCGTTCCAGTAGATACATATATTATTCATAGAATATTTTTTCCAACGATATTAATTATTAAATATGTAACAAATCTAACAAAAATTCGAAAAATTCTTTTTCAACCAATATATTTCATTTGGCCATATTTTATATTCACGAGTATTTAACAATTGACATGAACTTGTTATTGGATAATAATAACGTTTACTAAAAAAATCTATAATTACTTTAACACGATCAATATAATGACGAACTTTGAGCCATTCCATTTGAATAAATGGAATATCCAATGTATCAAATATATGACTACCACTTTCAACCACAAAACTTTCACTACCTTCAATATCAATTTTCATTAATGCACTACGAACACCACGTTTTATTAAAATTGGAAGAACTTCATCAAACATTATAGTTTTAACTATATACGGATTATTTGTAGATGAATTTTTTCTTGTACGATATTTATATGAATAATTGCTCGATAAATATATTCCTTGTCCTCCAATATTTTTTGTATCAATGGATAATCGTAAATATTGACCTGAATGAGTAAAAAGAGCATTTTGAATAAGAATGACTTGATTAGAAACATTAGTTAATTGAATAGCTCGAGCAAGACGTATAAGATTAGGAGCAAAACAATCAATAGCCAAAACAAAACGACCTAGAGCAGCTACATACATGGTATAAGTGCCAATATTTGCACCAAGATCAATAAAATCAAGATGTTGATGATGAATAAGAAGTTGAAGTATTTGTGTTACTTGTTCTTCTTCCCAAATTGAAATTGAATCATTAAATGCACCACTAATATATTTATCTTTTTTTGTTTCATGTAAACATATATTAGCACTTATATTATGAAGTAGTTTCTTTGTTTTTATACATTGAAACTTAGCTCTAATTGGTACATTCAAATCAACAATGTGAACATTTGGTGATATATTGAATGAATTTTCTATTAGATTATTTCTGTTTTGTTTAAAATCAGATCGATTTAATATGTTTTTATTCAATTTGAATATACATTTATGATATATCGAATAATAACCAATCAATGTTCCAATAATTAAAATAAAAATTCTTTGTTTCATTTTACTATCAAATAAAATTATTTCTTGAATAAATCTCAAATTGTTGAGAAGAAGTTTTGTTAAGAGCGAGATGTGGTCATTTGATTGAAACAGCCATCATTTGATAAAATACATAATGACGATAATGTTATTTATTTTGAAAAATGAGTTAAGCAAATGAGAGAAATGTAAAGAAAACTTTTGATTATTTGTTGATCAAACGCTGTTTTATTTTTATTCTTCTCTCTGAACATTTGATTCTTTATTATTTCTTTTATATAAGATCTATCGCAATTTGCAAACCAATTTGTTGTAGAGTTTCCTTCCGTCATTTCCTCTCGATTAACTATTAAGATAATTATAAATGGGAAAAAGCAATTATAACTAACAAAAACTATTTTATTATCGTTGTGTTCATTGATATTTCAAATAGAAAACATTGCTTTTCTCATCCTTCAATGATTAGTCTGTTTCATGACTATCTATTCTATTTTGCAAGGCTAAAAATAGGTTAAGCTATATATGAATTAGCATAGAATGTTTGATTTACATAAAGGAAAGTTTGTCTGTGCAACCTCCTTAGAAGCTCAAATATGAAAATCACATACTTCATATAAACTGAGAAATAATTTAGTAGCTATTTACATTTTTTCTAACAAATAAAAAAATAAGTATCTATGATGAAAACATGTTTGTTAACTGTACATTTTTTATTAATAAAACAAAATATGATGATCTAGGACTACTGGATTGAAATGTTTGCGTGAAGGAATCATGGTAGAACGTTAGAATATAGTGATGGCCATTGCGTTCTTTTCATTTGAACTCATATTAATTAGTTTGCAAGTATTTATCATTAATCATTTGTAGATTATACTTTTCTGAGCCAATCATATCTAATAAACAGATGTTTTAAAAATATCAAAGGACATAACGAAAAGTCTATTGATTAATGTATTGGTAACAAAAAACTTCGAAAAGACAGCTTCTTTTTGATAATTCGTATGCTTATAAATAGAATGTTATGCATACTTTCAAAATTTCTAAAAATTAATTTTATTTAAGTTCTCCATTTACTTGCTCACATTATAGCAATTCCAACATTGATTTATTATAATATTTGAATTATTTCAAATCATCATCTTCATTTATTTTGATAAAATTTTCCGCATTTTCTCAAAGTCTTCCATTATATTTCAAAATATTTATTTTATTTCATATGACTTTCATCATATTTTCAACTTTTTGAACAAATTTCGAACATAACTTGAAATCGATGTAAATGCTGTCGCCAATCTTTTCGTTTTCCTTCCTGTCCATGCATGTATTGTACAACAGCGTGCATTGCAGACTGGAGATGAACTCAGTTGATAAACATAATAATATCCACAATTAGTCACAAATATGTTAGTTTTTCATGCGCAAGTATTAGACTGCCACGAGAAACATACATTTCCACTTGTAGTTGTGTCCAAGGCACTAGGCATTTCACCTGAATACCAACCTGTTGCTTGAGTACTGCATTTATCAGGTTTAACAGCTTCCGTAAGTATTTGGGTACCACCAGCACCAGTAAATCGAATCCAACTTGGACCGGAACTGAAAAGATTTTGATCGCAAACCATAGTACCGAGTTCATTTATATTTCTTGTTTCATCATCAATTGTTGTGTAATTATAACATTGAGGAGAGAGAGTTGGTGTGGTTGTTGTGGTGGCTAAACAAAAAAAGGAAAGTAAATCAAAAGTACAAGGTTTAGTTTGAATATTGCGCTCATTTTTAATTCCAACTTTTACACGTTTAGTAGGATTGAAATTTCGATTATGAAATTAGACATAGGTTTATCATATGTAATGATATATTACTTGCTGTAGTCGTAGTTGTTATTGAGCCAGTAGGGACATCCGTACAATAGCGTGCATTGCAGACAGGAGGCTTGCGTAATTGGTAGATACAGAATGATCCACAATTAGTAACTAGAATATTGTTAGACCAATTGCAAGAGTTACCATTCCATGAATAACATACTGTTCCATTCTCAGTAGCACCTGGTATAGAGGGCATGGTGCCTGAGTACCAGCCTGCTGCACTTGTACTACACTGATTAGGGTTTACTACTGTCGTAGGTATTTGAGTGCCACCTGTACCAACAAATCAAAACCAATTTTGAGTGGAAAAGAGCTGATTATTTTGATCGCACTTAGAGCTGTAACCATTAGCGTTTACTTGTATGATTCATAAAATACGCCAATCAGGCATACTATTTTTTTCAATCGTAATATGTGCTTATCTACTAGAATATTGAATAATCAATCATTTCTTGATGAATCATCAATAGTTGCGTGATTATAACATTGAGGAGAAAACATAGTTGTTGTTGTTGTGGCTAAAAAAGAAAACTCTTGAGTATTCATCAATCAGTAGAGTAAACAATGACAATGTTTTTCTATATTGTTTAATATCGTGACAAGCAAAACATTATCTTGTCGCGATCATTTATGATTATTGAAAAGTTTCTTGGCATGTGTGAATTGTTGCGTGAAAAAAGTGTGAAAATCTATATGATTTTAAATTAAAAAATTTAATACCCATTCTTTAAGCGAAGAAAATATTCTTATCTACTGATGGACTAGTATTTACACAATTTTGTCGTAGTATTGTGTTAGATCAGCTCTAATATTGTTTTCAAAAATGCATAGCTTAGCTACTCTTTCACATAATACTCTTCAGTAATGAATAACTATAGAATGATTTAATGCATCGATATATAAGGCATAAACAACGAGAATAGATCTTAGCTAAGAAAGTGGTTGTTCTTGAGCAAATTACTTGCTGTAGTTGCTGTTGTTGTTGAAGTTGTTGTGAGAATATTTGGTGCATCTGCACAATAGCGTGCAGCACATATTGGAGGCATGGTTAATTTATATACATAGAAAGATCCACAGTTAGTAACACTGATTGTATTCGACCATTGACAAACATTATTTTGCCATGAAAAACATACTCTTCCATCGGTAATTGTTTCTGAGACAGTTGGCATGCGCCCTGTATACCATCCTGTAACTTGTGTACCACATTGATTAGAATAAGTCGGTGATGTCGATAGTTGTGTACTACTTTCACCAATAGAACGAACCCAACTAGAACCAGATATGAACACTGTGTCGTAATTATTATTACCAGCTGCATTAACATGTCTAGTAACATGAACTGATCGTGGTAGTGCATCAAAACTACATTTTGTTTATGAATAAGAAAAATTAGTGAGTTTATTTATTCAAAAAATAAAAATAAAAATAAAAAGATTTATAAGATAAATTTACACTATTGGAAGATGATATGGATGTCAATACAGTTGATAATCAAGTTGTTATTTGAGGTACAGATGTACATGTTAAGGAATGTAAATGTCGATTTATATCATTTAAAAAAAATTCATTTAAATGTTGAAGAAGCAATTGTTCAAGGTGTTGATCCAATTAAATCCTATTATATGCAAAAACTTGAAGAAATTCATTTATTTGAACGTCCATTTCTTAATGTTCATTGTGCATATATAAAACAATTAGATAAAATAATGTATCATCAATTAATTGCATATTCGCAAGAAGTTATACCTCTATTTGATATTGCTGTTAATAAATTATTTTTTACAATTTATGAAGATGATACACTTCCACATCAAATTCAAGTACAATCATATAATGTTGATATATTTAGAAATATATGTTGTCATGATCCAGAAGGTTTAACATTAAAATATATATGTTATTTTCTTCTATAAAAACTATAATAATTTAATTAAGATATTGATAAATTAGTTAGTCTAACAGGCATGGTTATACGATCATTATGAATTTTGATTGAAATGTGTTCAGTATATTTTACATGTAATATATGCAGTTTTCATGTTTAAGTTGAAATTGATTGTGGAACAATTGCTGAACCCATGGGCGGCGCAAGCTCAATTTTTTAGGGTAGCAATTAAGTTTTAACCGAGTCCATTTTGTCTCTTCCCTCCCCTCTCCAATAATGAACAGTATAGTAGCAAAACCTTGGACGTTTGAATTTAATATTTTCACAAAGGCATGATTTGTGGAAGTTTGAGCATTAAGTCACCTGATAGTGGATTACGAGTTTCAAATTAGTGCAACAGTCTTTATTGAAAAAAGATCTACTCAAAAAGACTTTAGAAAAAACTCAAGTCTTTTTTACCTTTATCTTCAGTTCAGGGCTGCTAAATCTCCTGATTTAGCCAGGAGACTTCTGGTTTGTAGACTTTTCTCCTGGTTTTTAGGAGTTTCGTCACTCTGAGTTTTCATGACATCTTGAATCAATAAAACAAAAAAAAATAACTATTACACCATTTCGTAGATACAAGAACCGATAAGAAAACATGTTGCTTCTGCTTGAGTTCTACAAAACTAAGATGATCAATTTCATAAACAAATCCTATGGCAAATTCTTGAGTAACTGTGAATAAAAAGAAAGAATCGACTGTATATTTTTCGAATAAATACGTTGCAAGAAGATGAGACCAGTGACGTTTAAGATTTATTGGAGAAAATTTTTTGTCACAAATTTTACCACAGCAGATAAAAATACTGATTCTATTTCACTGAGAAAAGTTCAAATCAAAAACTGTTTGATGATCATGCATGAAAGTAACTAAACTTTATTTGTGAAAATTAAAAAAGAATGGTTATCGAATCCGTCAGCTTGTTCATTTTTGGGAAAATGTATAAATTATCTTTCTTTCTCTTCCTTATATATCACATAGAGTATAGTCTTATCATCACTAACTTGACAGTAGAAAGAAACAGATAGTTATTTGAACTAAAATTTCAGTTTCTTTCGAGACAAGTTAGCCAAATAGTTACTTCAGTCCCATGATGATCTACTGGTTTTCCTCCTGGTTTTTCGGTAAAATCTTCTGGTCAACTACTGGTTTTTTATTGAGAAACTCCTGATTTTGTACATTTGGATTTGGCAGTCCTGTTTCAGTTCACTGACTCTTACGTTCTCGCCTTGATACTCATGTAAAAGATTGCCTGAAATTTAAACAATTACTCTTTTTTTGAAAAAATCATAGGCATAACAATCAGCTGGAACGATGGAGGTGCTGTTTTTCAGATTGTTTAACAATTTAATATTAGCAGCTAGCTGATGTTCTCTTTCATTGTGAAATAATAGGTAAATTTGTTTTTTTCTTCAGAAATTTTAATTCTAATTTTAAAAACCTAAATTGTGAATTTTGTTAAGAAAAACAAAAACAACCAAGGAATGCCTAATATTCTACCTACTTTTATTAATAAAAATAGCAAAGATCAGCTATTGCGTTTCACCCATTAAATGTTGATTAATTGGACTTCATTTCTTTTGTTCAAAGTAGTCAAGTGTCATTTAGGCAGTCTTAGAGAGATGGAAGACGATTTATAGTTACACTATTGATTCTGATCCAGCAGAAAACTTTAAGCATCGCTGATTATGGAAAGAGAGTATCCAAAAATAATCAAAATGTCGATTATGTATTACTTAAATAATCACATGTCGAATATGTATAACAGGGAACGCATTCATCTGGATTGCAAAAAACAATGCATGAGACTGGATCAATTCTAGTATATTAACTACAAAATCGTATTGAATATGTATATTGAATCAGGTAGTTTTACTCAAGTCTACAAAGAAAGCATGAACAATTAGGGGTAGCAATTGCTAACCCGTGCTACTATGGCGCGCCGCCTATGCTGCCATTGCTTTTGTGACAACTGGGATCTAATGGAGGTGAATATATATTTTTTTCTTAAAATAGTGTACTAGTGATTTTTGGCAAATCTTATAGAATTTGTCTGAGGCAAAAAATCGTTTCTTTTTGACAGAGCTTTCAGTATCCTGGTTCTTCTAAGCGAAGGAAACAATATTTTTCAAAGAACATCTCAATTTAGTACTATTTATTACGAAAAAAACTCAATCCTAAAAACATTAATTAAGACCGTATGCAAGAGAGAGAGAAGAACTTGAGGCCATCTTTAACCTTTGTGTTCCTTATATCTCGTGGAAGAAAGCCTTCCGGAATTCTGACTGTATGACAATTTTTGCCCTACTAGTCGAGATCTATCTATACTGACAAATTTAGAATTTTCGGTCAAGCCGTTCTTGAGAAACTGAGAAAACAAGGGGTGTCTTTAATCTAAATGTATATCTATCACGTATCAAATAACATGGATTAGAGTGTCTGTCAGAATCTCAGTATAATAATCTCTTAGAAAAAAATGATATCCTATTATAGTTTCTCAGGTCACTATGATCCATAAAGAAAAAATAATCAATCATTAATCATACACCATCTTGAATCAAGTTGTCTATATGTTACATCATGATATAAGTGATGTGTCATCGTTACTGATATCTATACGTATGATAGTAAGATAAACAGTATTATTCTATCAAGAAAACTCTTGAATATTGACCTATAATACGCATGGTTATAGTACAATTCTGTCTTTTAACAAACATTCTATAATCGATATTTTTATTCATGATTTCGAAACATTGAATAACTGAAGAAAATATATCAGAAAATTACACAATTGAAAAACTCAGATGATTATTTTTTTTAAACATAAATGTTCAAGCGAAAAAGTAGAACAATAATTATGCGATATTTCTTACAAGTATCAAATTTTCATCGAAAATAAAATGTTGTGTTTTTTTAATTTGACTTTTTCCACGCGCGTTCGATAACTACTCATAGTTGCTGTCATCTATTTTCCTTAAAAGTTATTTTGTAATCATTTCGCGCTTTCATTCTTCGTTTTTTTTTCTAATTCTTCGTTTTCGGATATAGAAAGAAAAAAAAAGAAAAATTTATTCGAATGAATAAAATTTCATTACAAACTACTAACAAATATGATAATATATCAGGTTCAAATCCATCATTAATTACAGCTGGACTTCCTTCAGGTTCAATAATGACAACACATTTAATTCAACCATCATCAAACATAAAACAAAATCATCATTTAAATCAAAATCGAGCAACTGATACACAACCTATCATTACATTAGATTCTCAACAAAATGATCATAGTCAATATACAATTGTTTCAAATCAAACTATATCCGATACATATTTAAATCTTTCACGTAAAGATATTAATGATGTTATGATTGCATTACATACTCTAGCTAAATGTATACGATATGATATTGATAATAAAAATCAACAATATATTATTCCGATGGATGATAATGAAAGTCATCAATTAACAATGCTTTATTCTAAAAGTACAAATCATACTTTAAAAAGTTCTACACCACCAAATAGTTCTTCTCATCATTATTGTAATCGTCGACATTCAATACGAAATAAACGACATTCATTATCATCAGATCATTGTCATCATCATCATCATGTAATATACATCAGAAGATCCGTTCTAGATAAATGAAGCAAAAGATTTTTCTCTGAAAATTTATTCTTTAAAATAATTCTTGTTTTTTTATTGATTTTTCGAGTATTTATGTCTATTATGATATCTAAGTTCAGTACGAGAAATATTTAACTTTTATCGTCATATTGACGTATCAGTTTCGATTAAGAAGCAGTGAAAAGAAAAGAATAGTTTATTCAAAAATGTGTATCTCTATTAAAAACTTATCGTAGATTCATTTCAGTGCTCTTTTTCGGCACACTCTGAAAAAATTCTTCAAATTGCGCAGTACATATTCGCATTGGTTATAGGAGAAGAGATTTTTCTAAAATGGGAACACATTCGGTATGACTCAATTATGTATTAATCGAAAGTCCACCTTGTCTTTTCACAAAAAGATCTATAAGTATTTCTCGAAACAGAGACAAAAAAAAAAGCACTGAATGTATATTCAACTACTGTTTGTTAATAAAGTGTTTTTTTCTCAGATACTCGTACTCATTTAAATTAGTTTGAGACTAATAACAAATAAGTTTGACCAAAAACAATTTCCTTCCCTTTTTTTTCCAGTTATTTAATTATTGCGAAGGTTAAATGTTTCTAGTGACAAAAAATTCGATACTCCTTCTAGATTGTATTTCACAAAAGAATGCTATTGGACATTGTGCCAAGATGTTAGGACATTTTGACTGTATTGTTCTAAAAATACTCTTCTATACCATTAACTGTCTGTGTTTTTGTCATTCTACGCGTTAGAGATAAGTACAGCAAACTTGTTTACTAACAATATATAGGACAAAAATGTATTGAAACTAAGATTTTGTTGGTGAGACTACCAAATTATATGACATTATATTAAGAGACTTAATCAACGATTTTCCCCCCGCTTGTAACATATGAATGACGAGGCACAATAGAAGTTTCTTCGAGTCTTCTAATGTGTTGAAGGTTTACAAAATACGATTATTTTATTTAGACCAAACATCATCGAAATTTAGTTGATGATTTTCAATATGATTTACATGATATGAAACGTAAAGAAGATCGTCGAATTTTACATCAATTACAATATCATAAAAAATATTTCAATCATCATAATCCATCAAGTTATCCTTCATATAGTTCAAATGCTATATTATATACATCGACATGTCGATCAAATAAACGACCAAGACAAATCTATCACTGTTCACAACAAAATCAATCAACAAAAAAAATACCTTCAAAAAATCTATATCAACAATCAATCAAAAATAAATTATCATCATCAATACCTTTATCTCCTTATATTCTTGATAATTTTATTTATATTGATCAAGAAGAACCTATTTCAAATATACAAATATTACCACAACAAGCTCATACATTTGAATTACTTCAAAATAATCATATACATAATATTATGTCAATGGATTCTTTA